CTGCACCCAGAGTGAGCTCAGTCTTCTGCAATGCCACTCACAGTTGGCAGGACTAGGACATGCAGATTAGGATGCTCAGAACCACAGAGTGCATTCCATGGAACGCACACGTCACCAGGATGTTTTAATTTACAGTGTCTGATAACTATCAGCATTTGGAAACTTCCCAACTAACGTACTCCCGTATCACAACTCTGGATGCATCACAAATGTACTCCAGCAGCCTGCCACACAGGAGCAACATGACTGCCCGGGAGAAGCCCTTTGGGATTTTGTATCCCTCTTTGGCTACTTTACAATTAATTGGCTTGTGAAATAAAAGAATGGCGAGGAAGGATCTCTCCCATCTCTCCAGCCTCAGCTCCTTCCTGCCTGGTTTCCCCTGTCTCACTTTGGCATCACGAAGTGGCACGCTTCTGATTCCCTGGGGAATTCACCCTTTTCACCACTTCATGTGGGTTACAGGATGGGGCTAATACTTGTTTAGAGAAGAATTCTGCAGGTCTGGTGGATACGGCTCTGCAAGGGGAGCAAAACCCCCACAGGGAGAGTGGGAAGAGGGCAAGACCCTGAACCCCTGACCAGCGGCAGCCCCTCCCGCGCGGGGAAGCAGACCCTACACAACACCGCGTGCCGGGGGCTGTCAGTGGGGCCAGACCCAAAAGCACAGGTTTGACACACTTTGTCACCCTTCAGTCACCTCTCATCAACCAGGCTCCCAAAGGAGACAAAGCTGACGGTGCTGCAGCTGCTTTACGGGGATATTGCACAGCCCGCTGCCCCACGCAGATGCTCCCCCAAGGAACTGTCTGATGGTGGGACACAGGCTGCAGACCACCTCCCTCCAACCCGCCCCAGGCGATGCGAGCAGGGGGCTTTAGGAACGTGCCAGGGAAGGGATGGGATTTGCTAGTTTTCCTCCTCACCTGGCAAGGCCTTTGCCCATTTGACCACGTAGACCAGCTGCCTCTCCCCGAGCTCATTCAGGCTGCTCAGCAGGTTGGAGAAGGAATCTGGCTGGCTGTTGTCGTGGCCGGCACACACCACGCCGGGCTCGATGGCCTCCAGGACGTTGAGGAAGATGGGCTGGCAATCATACCCATCAATGCGCGTCATCACCATCTTGGGAGCTTGCTCCTCAAAAAACGGCGTGCATCAGCATCGTCTGGTGTCTTCAGGTTACCCAGCTTCTTCAGCTTGCGGGCTGTGGAAATGACACATTTCACCGCGAGTCTTAAAAATAAAAACAAAGCTTGAGGCTTCTTGGCCTCCTGCTCCATCACTGGAGGAAAGGGAAACTGATGGCCAGCAGTGGCCAGTCCTTCAGTGCACGCTGCCCAGAGAGTGCCCTGGCATCACACACCCTGTCTGAGGGCAAAGGCGAGCACACGTTGCACAAGGAAATCCCTTTGCTCACTACTCTTACATGGAAAAGGAGGAGCATCCTTTACATCCTCAGCTGTGACGGGTCTCACATTAACTCCCACTTAGAAATGGAGAGGAAAAACTGAGGAGAAGAGGGAAGAGCTGACTCGATTCAAAAACCCCTCACAAGCAATTAAAAAGGGAAGCAACACAAGCAAGTAAACTCAGTACACGGCCACATTCCAGGGGAAAAAAGCCATTGCACTCGGATGCTCAAGTCAATCGTTCCATCCCAGGCCAGAGTGGAAGCAGGATGGAACCAAGAGAAAAGCCACCTCCCCACCCGGGGCTCCGGCAACGCCTGCTGGCCGCTAACCAAGCTCTCCCAGCCAGGCCACCACTCTACAAACACACTATGGAAAATACATTTCAAAAGCTGGCAGGTGGTCCCATGGCTCTTTCCTTGGAGTCTCTCCAGCCAGCCCACTGGCAAGGAGAAGACTCGAGCAGGGGTGGCCTTGGTCTGCCGGCCAGCTTCGAGAGCAACGCCGGCAGAGCGGGCTTGTGGGGCTGGGGCTCAGGCAGCGACTGTGCCCGTGCCACCGTGACGAGGTGCCCCTCCTGTGGCAGTCTGCCAGCGAGACACACCAGCAGCTCCAGATGGGTGACTTCAGAACTCCTTGAGAGCCCGTGTTCGCCTAAGTCGGTATCTACGCGACAGCGCTCGGCACAGCGCAGGTTGGCAGGTTACTGCAGACAGGAACAGCTTTCACCCCTTACTGACTCCAAAAACCCTAATTAATTAGAGAAGAAAAGCTGATGGTAATTCAAGCAGAGAATACAACATCAAACCAATTGTCCTTGGGGTTTTGGCTCCTTCATTACATGATACTTATCTCAAGTTTCCTTTCAGCTGTAATTAGAAAAATAAGCAGCGAAACATAAAAATGTCAAGTCAAAGTGCAGCTTTATAAATCAATTCAAAACGTTGATCTTTAAGTAATGTACTTTGGATGATCTACTGTAAGAGCAATTAAGACAGGCTGCTCGGTGAAGAAGGAGGAGAAAAGAGTGATAAAAACGAGAGAGAGCAGCAGGAAAACAGGGCCGCAGAGCAGCACGACACCCCTGAGCCCCGAGCATCGCGTCTCCCCTCGCCCACCCCTGCAGG